GGGTCGATGTCAATGTGTATGTTGCTCTGTGTCTATGTGTGTGTGTGTGTGTGTGTGTGTCAGTGTGAGAGCGGGTGTGCCTACACTTGTGTGTATTGTAGATGTGTTGTGTGTATGTGTGTGTGTGTGTGTGTGTGTGTCTGCTGCGTCATTTGCAATTGCAGCAACAACAAAAGTATAATTTGGTTTATTATTATTTGCAGCATATTTTGTATACCCTATATCAATAAAGAGCGATAAAAGTTGATTAAGAAAGTTAAAACTTGTCATACTCTGCTTTAATATTGAGCTTTCAGTATATTCCGACCTTTAAATATAAAATTTAGAAAGCAGATTCTGGAATGTAGTTAGTTCAAATATGTTAACTTCTCCGATCACAATAAATATAATAATGAAATATAATAGCATAGATTCAATTGTGGATAAAATATCAAAATTACTATCGATAAATATCAAATAACAACAAATATATTTAAGTTGAACTTTTACAGAAATATTATAGATCTAAGCCGCATATAAGCAGCAACAGAGCATTATCGAGTCGAGCACTTTCGATTCTGGCATTCTTACTTGTTTTGTAAACTGTTTTCATGGCTTTGGCTTCATTTATCAGGCTGCGTTGATCTGCCTTTATTTACCTGCCCATATATACATATTTATGCCAATAAGTGAGCACGTAATATAACAATGACACACATTGCTAATCAAAATCACACACACACACACACACAGAGTGTAAAAACTGTACTTAAAATAAACATAATTGCAAAACAATTGCCCCAAGTTGAATGCAACTGCAGCAGTTGCAGCCAAGAGCGACTGCTGTTGCCACTCCGTTTGTTGATAGTTCATCACCCCAGAAACAGCGACAACAACAACAACAACAAGAACAACAACAAAGTTAAGCACATTTATCAAAAGCCTTTGCAGATATTCACGCATGAAGTGCTTATCGCTGCATAAATTCGAAAACACCCACCAAATGTGAAAATGTATTCCAAACAACATGAATAAATAGAAGAAGTTCTTTACCAAGCCGAAGTTGAAATGCTCTTACACTGTAACCTTAATACAAAAATTTGAAAATAATTGTAATTATTCAATCAGTGATTGCAATCTTTAAATAAAAAGTAGAGTTCTGATTATGGATTTCTGAGTGTGTAATTAAATGAATGGATGCATGCAAAATTAATCATTTAATTTATATATAATCGCATCTCAATGATCTGTAATCTAATGGAAATCAATGTTATTTGCTTTAGCACTCTCACACTGCTCTATATATACAAAATTCTGGACTCTGAAAGAGTACAGGAGCGTTTCATCTTTGCTTGGGTCAAGGGGGGTGTTGGGGAGGCATCGGCACGTTTAATGAATCTAATTAAAAGTCAACAATGGCAAACGAGATAATCGTCGTAAAAGGCAGCAGCAGCAAGGCCAGACGGGGTGGCTAGGCAAAGAGGGGTGCGAGGTGGTGTTGATGGTTTCAGACGCTCAACAACGACGCATGCGCAACATGCGAATTCGGTCGCAGTCGCCGTCAACGCAGGCAGCGACGCAGCCAACAGCTGATTGAGTGCAGACACTAACAGAGAGAGCCAGAGACAAAGAGAGAAAGAGAGAGAGAGAGAGAGAGTGTATAAGTGTGTGTCTGTGTGTGTGAGATGTGGGCAAATTGATAAAAATCGGGCAAACGTTTTGCATCTGCAAAAGCTGCCAGGCAAATGAAATAAACCAAAACGCCGATAAGAGCAGCAGATATAAACCAGCGAGAGAGAGAGAGAGGGAGACATAGAGGGGGAGTTGGAGTAGAGGAGTACAGCAGTTGGGGAGCCAGAGCTGAAGGCAACATTAAAATAGATCAACGCTCGCTGATAAACACAATGAAAACTGAAAAGCGATGTGGCTGAGCATGGACCCGGGCACTGGGAAAACAGTGGTAACACTGCACTGCACAGGGGAAGTGGGAAGTGGGAAATGGGAAAATGCGATTGCGATTGTGAACTTCAACTTGGGGGCAGGTGTTGGTTGCTGGAGTTTGTTTTATGTGCCAGGAAATGAACTCGCTGCGCGTTGGGAGGCCGCAACAAAGGGTTGATAACAGCCGGCGTAAGTGCAGCATATTGAAAACTGTGGCCAAGCATTTCTTGCGGTGTATACACTTTCACAACAATTACTAGCAATAGCTTGATATATTTTTCAGAAGAGTAGTTTTTAAATATCTATTTTGAAAGATGTTTTTTTTTTAAATAAACTAAATATATATAATATCTGTTTTTCTAAATTGTAGAATTTTATTTAAATATAAAAACAAAAAAAATACTTTTTGTAGATTTTCTGAAATCGATGGCATTGTTTTGTTTGAGTGTATGAGCCCAAAAAATAACAGATACAGATACACAGATACAATTAAACACAAAACGCTTATCACTAAGCAATAATCAGAATTCCATTAGCCGTACGACGCGATATCGCGCTAAAGCATCAACCAGCACACTCACACACACACACACACACACACACAGACACACACACACACATACATTCACACACACACACAGAGACGAACGTTTGCCTTTGTTGAATGTATCTTTGTATCTGTATCTGTAAGTGCACAGCGCTCTGGAAATTGCAACTGTATGTGTATGCACGTGTATGTGTGTGTGTGTGTGTGTTTGTGTATCCGTTTTGCTGCTGGTTGGCTGCCTCGGGCATTGCCGGCTGGCTTCTCCAACTGGTTGGCTTCATTGGTTGGTTGGTTTGGCTGGCTGGCTGGCTGGCTGCTTGCTTCGATGTTATCTAACTGCGCGCCGCGCTGCGCTCTTATCAGTGCTTTATCAGTTTTTGTTTCGAATAATTTCGAACGACGTTCGCTTGCTGTTGCCGCTGCTGTTGTTGTTGTGGCAAAGGAAGCACCGAGAGCAGCAGCGAGCAGCAGATATCTTATTTCAGTTGGCAGTCAACCAGCGAGAGCGTCTATGTGTGTGTGTGTGTGTGTGTGTGTGTGTGTATTTGTGAGTGTGTCTCGTATATACAACAGATACGAATCCCCGAGACAACTGCTAGTACGGGGCAGGCAAAGGCAGGCAGATAGGGCTGCAGATAGACGCAGCTCTGGCAGACTGGCAAATGAAAGATAAACAACTTTACCCAGAGACGACAGACAGAGAGGCGGACGGAGGGACGGACACATCTCGCAGTCATCATCAACAAACATCAGCTGTGCGACGCTAGCTGCGACGTTGGCTGCGACGCAGCGTCGCTGTCGATGTCGTCGTCGTCGCCGTCGTCATCATCGTCATTCGGCTCTGCTTGGCCTCGGTATCTCAGTTTTGTATCTCACAGATACACAGACACAGACAGCGCGCAGTACACACAAAAATTTCATTACTCAGCGCTCAGTTAGCTGTAGAACGCGAAGCGAGCAGCACAACGAAGCTCCGTTCCCGTTCGTCCCGTCAATCAATCAAGCGCGTTCAATCACTCAATCAAAGCGTAAACTCGAGCGAGTGCCGCGCTTATTTTCTGCGTGTGTGTGTGTGTGTGTGTGTGTGGCTTAAACAGCTAAACAAATATAGAAAACATGTGCAACATTGTTGAGCAAACGAAAGCTTAAAATCAGAGCTCCCCTTTCGGATATAAGTGTATATGTATTTAAGTGTTGACTAATAACAACTGCAGTCATGATCAGCAGTCAAACAACAGCAGCAACAATAAAAGGTGAGAATCCGTGGGTGCAACAAGCAGCTCTCTCCCTCTCTCTCTCTCTCTCTCTCTCTCGGTCTCTCTTGCTTTACTCCACACGTTGCAAAAGGGTATTTTCAATGTAGCTCAAGCTCAAGACTCGAAGCAGCTCAAGCTAAAGAGTATTTCAGCTTTTGCTTATCAGACGACTATCTACGCTGTGTGGCTACACATTCATTCCTTTCCACCACATACGAGGGTTTACTGTGTGTGTGTGTGTGTGTGTGTTTGATATCTACAATCTGGCGAATGAAGGAGAAATATAAAAAAAAAGGCAAAGAGGAATTCTGCGGATTGTTGTTATTATTGTTATTATAATTCCTTGAAGTGAATATCAGCAAAATATAATCAAAACGAGAAAACAACAACAGCAACAACAACAACAACGAGACCTGGACTTGGACATGGTCTTCAGTCTGGGTCTTCTGCGTCTTCTGGCTCTTCTTTGACTACCACTATGGCTACAACAACTACTGGCGTTGAAACGTGCGTTGTTGTGTGTCTTTGCTGTTGTTGTTGTTGGTGTTGCTGTGTGTTGTTGGTGTTGCTGTGTGTTGTGCGTACTTAACAGATTCGATTGCGATACGAACAACAACTACAACTACAACTACAACAACAACAACAGCAACAACAATTGAACAAACATTGTTTTCACTTGAAGCAATTATTGTGTATTATTATGCATTTTGCATTCGATTCTGTTTTATCTTCTGCCCGCAGTTATCATAGATTTATGCGCAATTCCCGCTAAAAAGCTGCGCGTTGTACAAAATTACGGCTAAAGATTATTGCACAAAGTTTTGTAGCTTGAGCGACAATTATTTCTCATCAAACAATATTAAGATAGAGATTTCTACATTCAAATTGGAATATCCACAAGACATACTTGATAAATGCCTCATATTCATGAGACATTATCTTGAATCATAATATTTTCGCATTTCTTATGAAATTCTATTAATAATTGCACTTTAAATATATAAATAATATATTTTCTGACTCAACATCAAAAGGTTTTACTATTACTAAACATCTCACCACAATTTCTCTATAGTCTATAACACTTTTAGTTATATTGATATCATATTAAATATATTAATTTTGTAAACTTTTCCTAGATTTCCTAGAAACTAAGTTTGTTTATTTTTTTTTTATTTTTGTAGAAAATATATATTGAAATATTTACGATGATTGTGTAATATAACTGCCAATTCACTAACTCTTCTCATACTATATCTTCTTCGTTTTCATTGCAGGTGATTGTTCCGATACCACAGAAGAGATGACCGTCGACAGCAGAGGTGAGTGAGAGGTCTTCAATCTACCGTTGGCAGTGTTCACAAGCCATGCCATCGCATCCTATTCCCCCATCCCCCTGCCACTGTCGAGTAGCCAAAACTGTTATCAGTTTGCAGGCAGAAGCGAATTTCCCAGAGGCAGACACAAACCCGTTAATGCCAAACATAAATTGCTTGATGTATGCTGCACATTGTATGTGTGCCTCTGTATGTGTAGGTGTACGTATGTGTGTGTGTGTATCTGTGTGGTTGGGTGGTGTCGAGTGACACTCGAAATGGTCGTCTGCAAGGCAGCTGATATTTTACCAATAAAAATTTAATCTGCTCTCATATCCAGTGTCAGCGCGAGCCATCCTCCTAATTTAATACCAATTTCTGCTACTCCTTTTTTTTTTTTTTTGGTTTGGCTTTTTGGTTATCAGCAATGCTGCACGGCCAAAAGCGATGATTGGTCGACCAAACCCAAGAGCCACCATCTACCCGCTTAAGCTGCGACGGCAGACTGAGTGCGGTTGCGTTTTTGATACCTCAACTAAGTGCGAACCCTTTCGACTGGCCAGCGTTGACAACCCCTTTTCTCCCTTCGTAGTTTTTTTTTTTGTGTGTCATTCTGGCGACAGTAGCGGAAATGATGGAATAACCAAAAGCAACCAGTCAACCTCCCCCTGAGGTTGTGGCTGTCAAGTTTGTGCGTGTTTTGACTTAACTGGCATCATCATTGGCATCAATTTCATATCACTTCATAATCATCAGACACCCATACAGCAGCACCCTATGAATACTAACCTCAACCCTTACCCTCAACTAACCTTCGAGCGCATTGAATGTGCAAACTGATGATGAGGATGGTGATGATGTTGTTGTTTGTAAATGATGACGTTGTGGTTGTGGCTACAGTTTGTGCCTGGTCAACCTGCGACCTTTTGCTTGGCAGGGGTAGAGGTGGAGGTGGCATGTAATAGGGTGTGATAGGGTAGGGCAGAGTAGGAGTTTAGCAGCAGCAGCAGCAGCAGCTCTGCTCCACATTCCACGCCATTTCGCTGCCTTCTCAAGCATTCATCATTAATAATCCCCTTCAGCCGGCAGGCATTGGTATTACCACCCAGCTCCCCACTTGTTCTTTTTGTGCTGCGTCAGTGAAAGATTTGCAGCAGCTACAAAGCACACACACACATACAGACAAACACAGGGAGACAGAGCATGAGAGTGTGGCTCAGTGGGCGTAACAGCTCGCCAAAAGTGGGCGTTTGTCTGCGCTAATCTTTATCTAGCTGTTGACACTCCATGGCAACGCAGCAAACCCAGCCAGCAACAACAGCAGAGACAAAAACCAATGCTAACAAAAAAGTGTGGCAAAGCGCAGAGTCACATTCCTTTCAGCCTTGTCGCATGCTCTCTCTCTCTCTCTCTCTCTTTCTTCCTCTTTATCTCACTCACCCTCCCTGCCTCACACTTTGTCCAGTGGTCACCCCTGATAACTGATTTTGCCTTTTGTGTGTGCGCCATGTAAAGACACCTGAGAGGGAAATCTGACTAAAACGGTTGCTCGCTGGATTTCAGGAATTCAGTATTAGTAACTTAATTAATGAAGCACTTTTTTGGAATTATAAGAACTTATTCAATAATTATTAACGGTATTATATTCCACAATTCAATTTATCATCCATCATGCTCATTGTTTTAAATATAGAGTTTTATTTTTCTGAATTATATCTAACTAACTAACTTCTGCAAATTATAAAACACAGAAATTACTTCAATTTCAAACAAAGGATATAGAATAAAGCTTCAATGCTTTCAAAAGTAGTCCATTCCGTGATAGTAGTAACCCCAACTACCTATAATGTGATCAAGAGTTTAAAACACACATCGATTAGTTGGCAATTTATCAAGAGGCATTACATTATAATTTGGGAGCTTTAATAAAAGTATATATTGGCAATAGAATCGATAATAACTAATTGTAACTAGTTTCATAGGGCATCTGCAAGTCGCCTTGGTTGCTTTGCTACTGTTCCCACTGGGAAGTTAACCGCCCAGCAAGGCAATCTGGCACTGTTTGTTGTTGGTGGTGTTGTTCTTGATGCTGCTGCTCACTTTTGGTGCTCTACAATTGTTGTTGTTGCTGCTGTTGCTGCTGCTGCTGTTGCTGCTGCTGCTGCTGCTGTTGTTGCTGCTGCTGCTGTGCAATGCACTGTAAGCGCATCTACAAACTATGTATCTTACTCACTCTTGCCAACTCTTCGTGTGTGTGTGTGTCTGTCTGTGTGTGTGTGTGTGGTTTTTATCTGCAAAATTCATGAATGCTTCAGCTTATCTGGCAGAATTGCATACTTGCAGTACGCTCCCTGCTTATGTTGTTGTTGTTGGTGGGGTTTTTTTGGTCGGTTGCTCTTTGGCTTGCTGCTGCCTGTCTTCTAATGGCGCTAAGTGAGCTGACTGCTTGCCCCACCGCAGACACCACAGACACCCCGACCCCATTTTGTGCACACATTTTGCACATTGGAGCGCCACTCTCTAATGGCATTTTATCTGAGGCATAATTTTTTATTATTCGTTGTTGTTGCGCTGTTGTCTTCTTTTTGCTGTTCGGCTTAATGACAATCCAAAATACACACAGACAGCGAGTCAAATTGTTAGATAGCTTTTCGGCATGTAATTAATCATTTGACGGCCGAGTTTTTGTTTTGGCCTTTTTTTTGTTGCCTTTTTTTTCCATTTTTTTGTTGTTGCTGCTGCTATTGCTGTTTGACTATCGCGCTCAAGTTGAAGGCACCAGCAGGAGCAGCAGCAGCAGTAAAGTTTGGCATGCGGGACGCATTTGCAGGTCTTGCTGCGGGCTACAAAATAGTCAACAGAAACAACAACAATCAGCAGCCGCTGCACAAAAAAAAAAAAACGAAATGTAAAACCCAACAACAACAATCGAGCAACAGTAAGGCCACAAAACAAAAATCCATTACGCGCCCGGCTTATCAGCAACGTCCATCGTCTCCAACAGTAACAACAACAACAACAGCAACAACAATAGCAACAATCACACCAACAACAACATTCCACCTCACATTACGCATACGCACTGTGACCGCATTGGGAACTGAACTGAACGGAACGACAACTTTCGCTTGAATTGAACGCTGGCGCCAGCTCATATTTTGTATTTATGATTAAGTGCATAGCTTTTGGGTGCTGTTGTCTCTGAGTGTGTGTGTGTGTGTGTGTGTGTTTTGCTTGTTATCGCTGCAAACATAGTTGCACCCTTGCAATGGGCATTTCAACTTTGACACCTAATATGCAACGCAAGTGGAAAAGATATTTATCTGTTTGTACAATTTCTCGGCTAAATTATACACATTAATCACAAAAAAAAAATAACTTAAAATATATTTATAATGTTATTTAGTCAACATATTTTAAGATTGGATCATCATATCGAAGGAATAATGAGAAATCATCGTTTGCTTTATTTTTTCATTTCCATTTTTATAACATGCAATGTGATAACATTTTATTTGACCTAGTTTTTGTTTAAGATCAGCTCAGAGTATAGTTTATTTAACTGATATAGCTGCAATTTAATGGGGGCATTAAATCAGCTGGTTCCACATAAGCGTTTCCTCATTTTATCTGCACTTTCTTTTACGTTATTTTTTAGGTGGGTCCCATTTTCTTTGCGAGGGTGGCAAATAAACTTTACTTTACATTTTAACAATAAATTACACAACGCTGCCGCACATGTGGCCAAATATTGACACACACAAACACACACATGAAAAAGAGCCACTTGGCCTCGTAATCCTTTTTACTGGCGCGCGAGCATTTATGGAATTTATTCGCTCGGTTTACCAACAAAAAAAAAAAAAAGAAGAAGGCAGCTTATCACCGGCCACAGATCACGGAGCAGTCGAAGTGCCGAGGCAAACAGCCAGCGGCCTAAGTCCTGACGCCGCTGCTGCTGTTGCTGCTATTGCTGCTCCTGGCCGGTTGCTCCTGTCTTGGCCGATGATGAGCTTGGGCATGAGCATAATGATGATGATGGGTTTGACTTGAACTGGTCATAAAATCTCTCTCTATATATATATATATATGTGTATGTGTGTTTGTGTGTGCTTGTGTTTGGGGACTGAGTTGACTGCCTTGGCCTTGTCCTTGCGGTTGCGCAAACGGAGTGTACACTCGGAGAAATACTCGGTTTCCAATTTCAGTAAATTCAAGAACTAGAATATCTTTCGTTCTGTCTCGAAAACATCAAGTTGAATTAATATTTAGCTGTGTGTATTATGATGGCCACATTTTGAGAACTGCTTCAATAATTTCTCCCAGTGCAGCGTTGACGGGGTGGTTGAGTTGAGGATGGTGCGATGGGATTTGTGTCGGATATGATGGAAGGGGGCCAGCTGCCCAAACTGTCTGGCTTCGTGAGTGACTTGGCTCAGTGGTGGCCATAACACCACGCAATCCTTTGGATAAATTTTCTTATCTTTGTCGACCAGACGACGATATTATTTTTAATACAGCAGCCCAAAATTTGTACGCGTGTGTGAGTGTGTAGCTCATAAATGTGTGTGCGTGTGCGTTTGTGTGTGTGTGTGTGTGTGTGTGTGTGTGATTTATGTTGTAATTTTTTTATGTGATATGAGTAGCATTATATGTGTAGAATGAGCTTTCATCATTTTTTGGCATGCCCCACAGCCCCCAAACCTTAAATGGGGAATAAATATGAACGACTGTGGCATGGGCAGAAATCTTGTCAGGCTCTGTGTGACATTTTGAGTATATATGTATAAATATTTAAATGGCTGTCAATTAGCTAGTTAAGAGTCGGAAATGTGGCAAACAGTTTCCCTTTTCCCCCTCCGCTTCCTTTCGGACTTATTGCTACTCATTTCTGTTTGAAGTGGATCGAATGACCCTCGTCCAAATGCCATTTTTTTGCTATAATATTTATTGAAATTGTTGGTGTTGATATTTCTTGTTGCCACAAGTAGTTTATAGTTGTTGTT